ATAAATATGCACTGTGCCTGGTTTTTCCCATTCACTTTTTCCTTCCACTGAATAGTTTTTCACTTTCATCTACTCTCAGCTAGACACACTGCTAGATCCTAGGGGGACGGGCAGGTGTAAAGTGGCAAAGACTCCCTGCCCCTAGGAGAGCATGGGCTAAAGGAAAGCCGATGCACCAACATGCAATCACAGTACAAACTGTACCGAGCAATAAGATAAAGAATGTCCAAGTCATTAACACATATCTGCTGCCGTATCATTTATAAAACACAGGTAGAGTATTCTTGGATCTTGTAAGGGAATGATTCCCATATTCAAGAAAAGGGTGAAAAGATAAGAAGCAGTGTAGGTCAGAGGCCTGGCATCTGCAGTGTGGCTATAACCAGCTTCTCTTTGTCCACATCCTGTGGTTTTGTCCACTTCCTCATGCCACTTACAACATGACCCCACCGGTCAGCTACAAAATTGAAAATCTTGGCCCTAAGATCAGAACACCAGAAAAATTAGGAAACAAATACATCGGTGGCTCTCTTGAGGGAACTCCGTGGCTACTCATGCAGCAGCGGCCCCCGGGGCTGGGACCCTTGCCCCGCCCCCCAGTTACTCACCCCAGGGCCACCAGACTCATCCCAGGTTGCTGGGACTCTCAGAGACACTTATTATTCCCTGTTGAGTCACGGACGTCAGCAGAGTCACTTTCCAGTGATTTCCTCTTCCAAGAAGGAGCACAGACACCAGTGGGGCCCTTGACATCCATGTGGAAGCACCCCAAGGAGACTTCTAGAAGGCCTCTCCGAGTGAGCCACTTCAACCCTGGACCTTTAAGTCTCAAAGTTCCCAGTTTTAGTTCTGGTTCGAGTTCGTTCATACCAAATTGGGAACCTTAGTTTCTTTTGATCTATCGCAATCTCTGTCATTTGCATATAAATTTAAAAGTAATGATGTTCTCCTACATCCCTGAGGTTTCCTTCCATTCCTCACAACTCCATTAGGAATTTTTTCCCCTTCCAACTTAGAGCTAAAAAAAAAAAAGCAAGATTTCAAAGTATTTAGCCCAAGTGACAGAGTTCAAGTTCATTAAGTATTTGATTTATTCACCCAACAAATAGTTAGTATGAACAACTGCCTGGTCAGATGCCAGTTGGTGGCCCCTGGCCATGAAGTGCTCGCTTTCTAGCAAGAAGCAGAGACACAGCAATACACTATTATGATGCAGAGTGTAAGTGCTGCTGTAGGATGTGGGGGGAGGAAAGTGAATGAGTGACTTTTACAAAGTCGTCGATAGCATATGGTGAGCTGTTATCACCATTTCCACTGAGATAGTAAGGATAAGTTAAGTTATGCTGCAAAACAAGCGACCCACATTTCAGTTTATGTTCCACTGGTACGATACAGCCAGCATGGGTGGGCAGGACACTTTGCTGTCACCGGCACCCAGAGATCCAGGCTGACAGTTGTTCCATCTCTAACCATACTTTGCCGGTTGCAGTAGTAGGTTGATTGAACCAGCAGCTAAATATCGCAGCCCCTAGTGACACCTGTCAATTGCTCTCACAATTCTTTGTACAGATGCAGCTGCAACACCTCCATCAGCCACAAGGGGGCCGGAAGCTCTATCTGTGCTCTGAAAAACCATCTAGGTCTGGAGACTAACGGCAAGTAGAGAAAGTGAAGTCATTTCACAGAAGACCGTGGCCTTTATCTGATTCTGAAGCTCTGGGAAGAACCTTTCAGTTCTGTTAGATGTGGGTAGCTGATAGGCATATGAATTGCATCGCATCCCACAGAGGTTCAATGGAGCACCCCCCATCTTTGTGGAAAATCCAGTTTGCCCTATTTGCATATTCACTTCTATATTCCTGGCCTATAAGGGTATCTTTTTCAGGTTCTTGTTTAGACCAGTTATAACATCTGCCTGGTTCCTTCATTAGGAGTAAAAGAAAACCTCTAACATGGATTCATCTTCATGTTTTTTAAAGAGCTATAATGGGCCCTCCCTGGTGGCGTAGCAGGTTAAAGCACAGCACTGAGAATCTAAAGCCACTTCCTCATGAGTTCGATCCCCACCTGCCCTGGAGGTGACCACATGGCGTGGCAGACCTCTCCTGACCCGCCCGCTGCTCCCCTCAGCAGTGTACTTTGTTGATCTGCCTGTTCTGCTCCCCACTCTGTCTCTGGTGAAGCCTCTCACCACCCCTGAGACTCTGGCCTATACCCCAGCTCTGTATGTACAAATAAATAAAATCTTTAAAAAAAAAAAGAGCTATAATGTTGCCTTTTTCTGAAAATTACCTCTCTGTCACCTATTTTAGAGATGAGCAAAGAGATTCAGAGAGGTTAAGAAGTGCCCAGAGCCACCCAGCAGACGAGTGGTGGCTTTGGGGAGTCCAACCCCTTCCGACCTCTACCACAAGGTCTGCAGAACCCCACACTTTGAAGGTCCAAGAAGGCTGGGTGTTTAAGTTGGATCTCAGGGAATGAGCAGCGCTATTTCTAAGCTGAGGCCAGACGAGACGCAGAAGAGCGGGGAGCCAGGCAGAGAGCTGCAGGAGGAGACAGCCCACCATGCGACAGGTTGGGTGGGACACAGCAGAGAGAGCTGGAACTGGGAAAATTCTCAGAGTCTGGCCTGGCCTCAGCTATCTGAACAACAGGGAGTCTTTTGTGGGTTTTAAGCAGGAGAGTAAGTAACTAAACGTCTGACTTTTGCATGGAGGACAGGCACACAGCCGGAAGCAGGGAAACACCCATGTTCCCAGACACCTTGTCTCCCTACCCAGAAACGACCCAAAGGTGCCTCAGCTGGTGACAGGGTCACTGAAATGTCTATAGACACAGTGGAATGTTCCTCGGCCTGAAAAGAGATGCTGTTGACACACATTACAACTTGGCTGAACTTTAAGCATCTGCTGGAGTATGATTCTGCCTACAGAAGATCCCTGAACAGGAGAATTCATAGAGACAGAAAGGAGCACAGAGTTTGGGGAGTGGCGCTTGGATGGAGGGAGGAGTGAAGTTATTACTTCACGGGTACAGAGTTTCTG